GCGTGGGGTTGATGGCACACTCCCGTAAAAATGAAATTATTCCAGGAACGGAAGACATTCAAACCTCTATCAATATCGATGAAGCGACCCACATGCAGTGGCAGGATGTTTTAGGTCAAAGCCAAATGGAAAAATAGCGTCTTGTTTGAGAGAGGGAAAGAAGGCCAAGTAGGCCTATTTGGCCTTCTAGTACGAGAGACACCCTGAGCGGAACTAACCAACAATTTTACCCCGACGAGTATCTCCGCCATTTTAATTGGGGAGTTCCCTCCCCCCATTTCCCCTTCCCCCCAAAAAAAATCACCATTGATATATTAAGTCATGTCCAGGTGTGTGCCCCTTTAAAGTGTTACAAGTATAGTAAAATACCTGGTCTAAGAAAGAGAGTAAGATTTTGAGGAGACACTTTAACTTCACCGTCCGGTACTTCACTCTGCGAACGGAGACAATTAAAAATATCAGTTAACATGAGTTTTGTACTAAATATACTTCAGTTTGTTGGTCTCATTCTTTTGCTGCCTTTTTTAACTTGACGTTTTCAAAATTCTTAGTCCAAAACTGCTGTTTTTCTTCTAAACCTGGCATCAAGGGCACAATATCTCATAGACTATAAGTATACTAGACTCGATTTCCGCCGCGCCCCGCTCGCCTCGTTCGCGAATTCTTTTCTTCGTATTCGTCGGGAGCCAGTTCGCGAACAACATTATAATTCAAACAAGTAAACCTGGTGCCAGGCAGGTATTTTTATTTTGCTACTTCATAAGTTTCCTCCTACAACTGTTATTGCAATCTATGACCTCAATATGCACTGTTTATTGACCATGCAATAACAATCTTGAGAATTTGTTGAACATAATTATGATTTGGAAAATCTCTCGAAATTGCACGAGCCTTTAATTATAGAGCAGTTTTTAGTTGAGTCTCGTAGAAAATCACTCTGGCCAACCACAAATTATACCGACAATCCAGTGAACCAATCAAAACTCAAAGCAGATACAGGGTTTCAACGCAAAGCGCGGGAAAACGTGAGCGAGGGTGTCATGATTGGTTTTGGTTTTACTCCTGATTGGATGACAAAGTAGCGGGAGATTTTTAACCCAATCGTGTAGCATAGTAATGCAAAACCGAGGAAAACGCGAATTTCTTTCGACACTCAGTTGAAA